CAAAATAATAAAATAATAATAATAATAACTTTTGGCCAAAAGAGGAAAAAAAAAAAAAAAAAAAATCTAGCGCACTCTCTTGTGTCTTGTGTCCTGTGTCTTGTCCTATACATACATGTGATATGTATTCGGAAAGATTCTAATTGTTGAAGAGGAAAACGTTTTTATCCTTTAATGTTTAATATGCCAAATTTTTAATATACATAAAAAATGAAATGTTTAATATGCCAAATTTTTATCCTTTAATTCATATTAATTGATGTATTGAGTTTTTTCATTTAATCACAACAACATTATTATTTTCAAAATATTTTAAGATTAAAAGTTTATTTTTACAAGTTTTGTAACTTGATTAATCAGATTAATTGTCTAACGTGAGTGGTTCACGGGGTGAACCACAAACCAACGTTAGTTCAGTAGGAGGGAGGGAACGCATTCCCAAAGCAAAAGAATAAAATAACTATAATACAAATATATATAACATCATGCATTACCATTTATATTTGCATTAGAGAAAATTACAAGAATTAACAATTGCTTTTCATCATCTTATTAATTATGTCATTAAAAAATATTCTTATAAAATATGAAACATATTCTCATAGAAGATGAAAAATATCATGCAAGAAAAAAATATTCTAATAAAATATAAAAAATATCCTATCAGAATATTAATGATATAACAATAAATTTAAATTAATATTACTGTAGAATTTTAAATTTCAGGTTCCATATTCTCAATAATTATATTTACGCGCTGTAATTTCAAAAAGGAGATGAAAAAAAAAAAAAGAAAAAAATCAACGACATGAGGTAAAACAATTAACCATACACATGTGATTCTAATTTTTTATTGTTATTAACAATGGCCTTGAAAGAAGAGAAATTGCATGTAACTTTGTTCGCTTCCTTGGGGTTGGACTAAGGGTCAGTTTGGTAGTAAATTGTACTTTAAGGTGATTGATATACAATTTAAAAATTAAAATTATTTTTAGGTTATTTTTTATTTTGATTGTAAATTTTTAAAAAATTCTTTAAGAATCACGTTTTATAGTTTTTACCAAACATAAATTTCAATTGTGAATGATTAAAAAATTAATTTTAAACTCTAAGAATCACTACTAAACATATCATAAGACTAACCTAATGAGAAATTTTTTTAAAAAAAGCCAGAGAAAAATAACACTATTGACCTTGATACAAATGGATGGTTGATTTCATCCAAGTATAATTTGCTGAAACAATATTGTAATAAGTTAACTTGATATTGTTAATTAAACGATGAAAGATGTGATATAATAAACTTTTTGTTTGAAATGATGTTTATATATTTGTAAGAAAATAAGTTTTGTACGAGGTGAGAGGGAGCAAACTAATTGAAATTTAATAATTTAGTATGATAGAATGTGATCTCATTAACTGTTAAATAATTTTTATCAATTGTTTAATTTACTACAACCGTTTAGTCAATATTAATGATCGAAAAAACTCTCAATTAATTATTAAAATAACCATTAAAATTAGACCGAGTATATCTGCCCAAGTAGCATAGTAGCGATAAAAGAAAAAAGTCGTGTATTTAAAAAATCATTTTGCATGAAAATATGACACGTGTAACGTCCCCAGTATGACAATGCTGTGTAAGCCTAGGTTGATAGGCTCAGAATGGGAAGAGGAATAGAACGTGACATCCCCATGTGATCCACCTGACTCGAACGCGACCAAATATAATAATCGAAACAATTAGCAATGCGGTCTGGGATCCCATGTTATATGACCCACGGTAGTTACTATGAGGCCTCAATCATTAAATGATGAAAATTCGTACAGAAGTCGCATCAACCGCTGGAGAGTGGTTCCTGAGTTATATCAGCTGAGCACACACGTTAATTTTTCACTGGTTGGGAGCATATCCGTATTTACTTTGTTAATTATTTTTAGTGAACTTAAAAACATTTCTTAAAATTTTTAGCTAGAGGAAACGGTAAAGATTAAGGGGTTCTTCTTTTAGAAGGTAATTTGAGTGTAATTTTTGAGTTAAATTTAAATTATAATTTAAATTGAAGTTGTAATTTGAATAAAATTGTGTAAAATTAAAATTTAAAAGAATGTAAACTTAAATAAAATTAGAACTTAAATTGTCTTTTTTTAAATTTTTTGTACAAAAGAACAACCCTTACAAATTTTCCCAACACAGAATAAAGTTTGTTTACGATTTAGTCGTACCTAGTGAGTAGTGATTAATAGGTATAAAACCCAACTTAAGTTGAGTAGATAAAGGTCTTTACATATGTATCACTGTCATGTCCGAAAATTGCTGCCCCTAAATGGATGTCGCGCCGAAGAGGCGAGATTGTAGTCCACTAATCGTCGCCGTGTCTAGCCAACAATAAAATTTATAATTTGGTATTGTTATTATATTTTCTTTTGAGTTTCTAACTTTTAAAGTGTAAATTTATTCTTTCAGGAGCTATTTAAATTTATCTTTCTAATTTTTTAACCTGTTAAATTTCTTTCATAAAATTAGTTTCAATCGATCATTATTCAATTTAATTTAGTTTAGTCCAGTCCGATGATTCATGAAACGTTAGATTGATTTTTAAATTAGTTTCAATCGATGATTCATAAAATTAGTTTCAATCGATCATTATTCAATTTAAACGTTAGAAAAATCTAATTACATATATGCAACACCATATTGAGAAAACTACTAATAAATCTGTTATCCATTTCCTCTTTGGTTTTGTATGTTGTTGGAAAGTTGAGAGAAATCTTCTTCCACCTAATTTTTATTTTTATTTTTTACATGTATACTATTGCAAATATTAGAGGAATTCCAATTTTCCTTCAGTTTAATATATATGCAGTGCATTATTGTCCGAAAAAATGGGTCTCCCATTAGCTTTCTCTCAGATAACGCTTTTGTAGATGGGGACGGCAATTTGAGTCACTCTGTCCTCTTCACTCTTCAATGGTGTTGTTTAATAAGGTTTCAGAAAATGATGATAATTAAAAAAGAGAAAAAAAAAACATTTTTGAAGGACTGTAACAACCTGTGCGTTGTGATTTGTTGGTGAATTTACTCTCAGCAACTTTGAACCAATTTTTTTGAGACCTCCAAATGAGGTATAGTAGGAGTTCACCTCTTAAGTGACAGCTTTTTAAGAGAGCAGATCTTTTTTTAAAATATCATTACACTATACATTCAATATATGGACTCTGCGTGACTGGAATATATGAAAATATAGAATGGTTTTTTTAGAATGAACAAGGTGGATAGAATATAGTTTCTTTTTTTTTTTTGAAAAAATAAAAAAGAAAAAAAAAGGGTTTTCGTTGATACCGAATGGGAATTTGTCTGCGACGTTTATTATATTTAATTTAATTATTTCCACCCTCTAAATTAATATACAGTTACCGTACAATATTATTCCCCGATAGGTGTGTTGCTGTGGTTAGGCTTTTTTGTCGTACCCATCTAAAATTCTCAGCATGACCTGCGTCTGTGTCGTGTCTCTAACGTGCTCTCTGTGTGCTGTGCATAAAACACGACAAGGTGATATTTAACGGAAGTGCCAGAAATACTCTCATTTCTATTTGGGACGTGGAATTAAGCGTTATATACATATAATATATATATATATATAGATGCTAAGTCTCCTATCAGTACAGTATTTTTTTTTAAAAAATATATAAATTTTATTTTAAAATATGTATTATTTTTAAAATATATATATTTTTAGTTGAGAGAAAATATACATTGTGCGTTTTTCATATATATTTTAAGAGAACAATATACATATTATAAGATAAAATATACATATTTTAAAAAAAATATACATATACTATTCTAATTCAGTACCAGAGATAATTCCATATATATATATATATATATATATGAAAAAATAAAATAAAAAATTGCCAAACGTGTACCATTTTCAGCTTATCCTTTTCCCGTGAACTGCGTCATGCTTCCCAATAACATCAACTTGGAATTCTTTTTGCTGGTAAGTGATGCTTTGGAATTCGGTTAGAAAATATTCTGTAATAATACTCGAGTAGTACTTTATATTTTTAAATTTTTAAATGTATTGGCTATGATCATATAAGCACACATACATATATATACATATATATATATATATATATATTCATCAGCAAATATAGAGAAAGACTTGACCTACATTATAACATACACACCAAGTATAGAGTATATCATAATATTTACTTTTACGTAACAATTATTTACAAAAGTATGATACTTTAAGTAATTCTTTGTTATTATACCTATGAAGTCATTTATGCCATATTACACATGTTTCTATATATTACATATAAAACTTAACTACTTTTTATAACTATTTTTACAATGACACCTTCTAAAATCATTATTACGTAAAATAAATTCCATATTACATCCACCAGCTTCTATATATCACAGAACGGGAACTTCTTGAAGGATTGTAGCCTTTGCCAAACATATAATTTAGTCATTTTATAGAAATTTGACTTGTACTATATTATAACATGTATAAGTACAGCCACATTTAGTTGTTTTCTACACCTATTAATTTTTTGGCTTTAATTTGCATTTTCCCTCTCTATAAGAAGATAGCACGAATGCAAATGTTTATGCCATTGCCATATTTGAAGTGAAAAAGTAATATAACAGCATACTTGATATATTATTTTGATTTGTAATCCAATGCATAATGACATTTCAAATGTTATATTTATAATTTTTTGTTATGATATTAAGTTTTTAGAAGTAGTAAAAGTATCATTTTAATTTTAAAATAAATTGAAAATATCAATATTGTAATGATTAAATAAAAAAATGCATAGATCAATAGCAATCAAATGTCAATATTTTTCGTATGCTTTACTTGATGCTAAATTTGCCACTAAGTATATGTTAAATTTAGCACCAAGAATTACATTGCATTGAAGAGTCATTTTGGAGAGTAATTTTCTTAAATACTAGAATCCAATGTCTCTTCCAAATAAAAATACAATTGGCATGCTCCCAATTTAGTTTGAGCGCAACAAGTTCCATTACATAATTAATACAAAATTGGTAGAGTTGAGAGCCTAAATTTTAGTGCCTCCACAGCCACCTGAAATCGGTAATGGAAATGCTTTAAGGAGGGAAAAAAAAAAAGAAAGAAACAGTAAATAAGGCTCAATACAGACACCAGCAGCCATGCCATTAACATTAAATGGGAACTTATATTGGCAATAACATTAATAATAACCCTAAGTTAATTATGATACCTAATAAGTACATTTATATATAATATATATTAATATATATTTATACGGCACCGTTGTCTAGGAAAGAGGAGCCCTTTGAGGAGCACCCTTCCTCCTGTTTCCTAAGAGAATTTCAGGAAAGAATCCACTGCCCTTTTTCTTCTTCTTCTTTGCCGCGGCGTCGACGACGACGGTGGCCGAATTGCTCGTGGCCTCGTGGGAACCTGATCCTGACAAGGGCCTGTTCTGCAATGCATCTTCAAGAATCGGACCATCATCATCAGTGATCACATCTGAACCGTCCATCCTCAGTCCCTCGAACTGGGAAATCGTGAAATCCGATTCGTCGAACCGGAAGATTATGGTGCTTAAATCTTCCCCTTGGTTAACCAGCCAGTCAACCTGCATTATTATTATAGTTATCACTGTAAAGTAATTATGAATAGAATCGGTAAAAAAGGCATCGGTGGATTTTGTTAAAGCTCATCGCAAACCCCAAGTAGCTGAACATATATCCACATGACAAAAACGCTCAATTCCATGGATATTGGTGAAAAATTTCTACACGACATATAATATAATAAAGCGCTCCAAATTGTAAATGCAAATCGATAAAAGGAAAAAGAATTTAAGTAAAACCTTGCATGAGAGAGAACAGAAGTGGAATGGCTCTTGAAGAATCCTGTCACAAGTGAAGCAAATATTGGCAGAGCCTTTGACAATCCTGGACTGTGGCCTCTGATTCAAGAATATCACTTTGGCACCATTTATGGTATAGGGCTGCCAAATAAACATCCATAATTGTTACTGCAAAATCAACTACAACAATAGATTTTTTTTTTTTTTGGATTTGTTATGTTTTGAGTGCCATCAAGAGACAACAAATATATAAGATGAGTGTGGCGGAGATGCGTATGTTAAGATGAATTAGTAGTTATACGAGAATGAATCGCATACGGAATGAAGTTATTCGTAATAAAGTAGGTGTATCACCAATATAAGATAAGGTGTGAAAAAACTGTCTGAGGTGGTACGGACATGCACAATGTAGATCGTTAGATGCACCTGTTCGTGTTTAGGAGAACATCTAAATACTTAGTACTAAGAAAGCGAGATGTAAACCAATAATTATTTAGATTGACATAATTAGGCACTACTTTTAAGATTTAAGACTTTAAGATGGTCTCGTATTTAATAGAGAACAAGAAATCTATATAATCGATCTCAATTAATTTAAAATTAAGACTTGCATTTATTATTGTTGTCGTCGTTATGTTTTTTAGTCAAAGTAGTTGGATTACAAGATTTACCTGAATAAAGGAACAGTCAATAAGCTTTTCTAGATCGGCCAATCGGACAACATCATGGTAAACATATCGTCTGACCTGTCACACATAGGACAAAAACCCCTCAATTAATTGACATGGATAATTCAATCAATACTTACATTCAACTAAATAATAATAATGATAAAAAGACATGGCAAAATGGCCAATATATATCTCTGGGGTTAAATTTCCAATAGAAATTAACCCTGCCAGTATACCAATTATGGAAATTTAGGTGAAAGATTAATAAGTGAGTAAGCAGACAAAGCTTCCATGGAAGAAAAAATAAATGAATAAGTAAGAATTTAATTGTGTGGATGGTGGGTTCTTTTGGAAACAAAAATTCGGGTCAAACTTTCGCTTTCTTTGAAAGCAACAGCTGAGGAACCTTTTTTCCATCGGGGAAATGGATAAAATAATGAAATCTTCTATTAATAGAAAAGAGTCCAAAATCCAAAATCCCAAAAGCCAAGCTCTCTCTCAACCATATACACACAAAATAGAACAGGAAAAATTGAAAATTTCCTTTGGGAATATTGAACATCAAATAAGACAAGTACTCTGAAGGGATTTTACAGAATCTTCAAGAACAACCATCTTCTTCTTCTTCTTCTTTCTCTTCCTTTTTTTTCTTGGCAAGAGTAAAAGAATCGGTAGAAAACAAGGCTAAAACATTAATGGGAAAGCCAAGAAGCAAAAAAGAACAAAAAAAATTGAAAAATTGTAACATGGAGAGTTCATAAAATCTATATTGACATTCAAGAAATTATGCAGAAATACTGGACGAACAGAAACTTGGTCATTCCAATCAATTAACCCGAGAATTGACTAAGGATAAAAGTTTAAAATGTGAAAAGAACAAAAAAAAAAATAAATAAATAAAAGAAGAAAAAAACTAGCAGAATCTAGAGAACTTCTAAAATAAAAACCCACTTGGGTTCTTGAAAAGGTTAAAACCAGAAGGAAGGATTAAAAAAGTAAAGAAATTTACAAGAAGAGCATGGAATTTTTGTGTACATAAAGAAGAGAAAATTGGTGTACATAGTAGCTATAAATGAATAATTTGATGGTGATGGTGAAATTAATAAAGAAGAGAAAAAGAAAATTAATACCTGGAGAAGAGGGTGAGAGCTGTGAGAAGGAAGGCAGTGGGGGCAAATACTAAGGCAACACTGCAAGCAAAAGACGTTCTTCTCGTTCTTCCTGCGATTCTCGTGGACCCCACAACCACCAAAGAATGTCTCAGCTATCAGACCCTCTAGCCATGCAGGCTTCATACTCGTATCCATACCTGAGCCATATCCTTCTCTCACCATCTCTCTCTCTCTCTACTCTTTCTCTCTCTACTCTTTCTTTCTCCTCTTCAAAAATGTCCTCCTTTCTTTCCTTTTTTCCAACGAATTGATGAGTGCAGTATGTATTGTATGCATATATTTATGCGTACATAGACAGAGTGATGAGAGTGCAACCTCAGACCAAGAGAGAGACTTTCTTTTTTCTTTTTCCTCTTTCTCTCTCCCTCTCTTTCTCTCTCTAAGCTAGCTAGCTAGCTGTATTATGTGACAGTAGTACTCAGCAGGTTTTGACAAATGAATATTTACGAGTTTTTTTTTCCTTTTTATTTATTTTGCTTTTATTCCTCCTTTCTTCTCAACAATTGCGCTTTCAAAACCCTAAACCAAGTCTTCTTTTTATAGCAGAGGAGGTTCCAGAATTATTGTCGCTTCTGCAAGAGAGAGAGAGAGAGAGAGTCTCTGTCCTCTTAATGGAAAGTAGGAAAAAAGAAAAAGAAAAAAGAAAAAGAAAAAAGAAAAATTAAAGACAAAAAGAGAAAAATATTGGCATGAAGTAGCAAAGAAAAAAAAAAAAGGAAAATAATAAGAAATAAGTAAATATAAAAAGTTGAAGAAAGTATATAGGTTAATTTTTAATTATAAAAATTAATATGTCATAATTTATTAAGTTATAGTTTATAATTAGATAAGTTATAAATAAATTTATTAAATTATGGTTCATAATCAGATAAATTATGAATAAAAATTAAGAATAACTTATCAAGTTATGATTCATAACCAGATAAATTATAAATAAAAATAATAATTTAACATATTTATTAACTTAAATAAACTATTAACTTATTAATTTTAATTTATCGTAAGTCTAAATCTATTTCTCTCTTTCTCTCAAAAGAAAAAGGCTCATATAATTCTCATTAGGTGGTTAGTCTTTCAAAACAACAAATTATATTATAATCATAAAAATCTCCATGTTATGAAGGTACACTATTAGTGCAGTACATTTCATTTTATTTATATAATGCGACAAATTTTGTCCAAAAAGTATTCACGTCTTTCTAAATATAGCGAATGGAAATGAAAGCATATATATATATATCTCCATATATGAAAAAGAAACTATTTACAAATATACATTACGCTGTTTTTAAATGTTCAATGTCATCAAATTATATCCTTAAAAAATTATTTAAATCTAGAACTGCACAACAAAATTAGAATATTTTTATACCTTACCAGTTCTGAGAAAAAGATGTTTTATTCATATTATAAACCCTTGATCATTTTGATTTAATTGTGGTTTATTTGTAATATAATTTTACTGTAATTTTTCATTTTTTATATAATTTTCAATTCATCTCCTAAATGGAAGAATTTAAAATTCGTTAACACATGATGTAGAATACCTTAACATGAAGACGTACTGAAAAATGAAATTTTTTCGTCTCCATTAGATTTTTTTTTTTTTATGAATATATCTCCACAAGATTTAACTACTTTTATCACGCATTTTTTCCTCTTTTGCCAGTTTATAGCACTTCTTAGTAAATTAACACTACACAAATATTTCGGTCACAAAACTATATAAAGAAAAAACGGAGATTGAGGAAAATTTAAGGAGAGCGATTTATCACTTGGGCAGTGAGGTTTTTGTGAGGTGTGGTAAGGAGTGGAGTGGAGATGAGAGGATTCGTGGCGGGAAACCAGCCATGAGCCAACCAATGCCGTACTTTCTTTGCATATACGGAGCCACATCCATATATATACATATATACATATATATATATATATGTGTATATAGAACACACATACGACACAAACAAACCCATTGTGATCTTCACCATTGATTCAGGCACTCCTATTCCCATTCCTGCCACCCCCACAGCGTACGATGCCTTGTGTACATTGACAGAACGGCCCCTCTTGAGTTGCCATTTTGTCTTGTCTAGTTGAGTGGGTAATTTTTTAAAATATATTTGTGCGTTTTACTTATTTAAGTTTTTAATTCTAATTTTATTATAATTAAAATTTTTTATAAAAAATTATATTTAAGTTTTTTATTACAGTAAAAAATTCTCACATAAAATTACATCTCAATTCAAATAAAAAACTCGAATCAACAAACTGAATGAGACCTTAATTTATAGAAGATAAACGGAAACTTATTTTTGTTTATATTGTTGGTATTCCCCAATAATCGTGAGTTAGATTCGGTCGTGGTAGAGATATAGGTCTGTTTAGTTCGCTAATTAATGTGAGAGTTTTTTATTATAATAAAAAAATTAAATATAACTGTTTTTGAGAATTTTTTATTATAATAAAATTTAAATTTTAAAATTAAATCAATGAAATAAATGAGGCCAGAAATAACGTTTATTATTGACGATCTTTATAATTGAAGGCAAAGGTGGGCGTCGTTTTTCAATGGGTATGTTATCTCGAAACACGTCGGTTTTATTTATTTATTTATTTATGGTCATATGAAGACCTTTGTAGCCCGATGTTTTCTTATTGGGATTTATGCTTATAAAGCATTTTCTGTAAGACTCTAACCCTTTTCCACTTGCTTGCATATACTTTATGAAAACATCTTAAGCTTTGATAATCAAATGGTTCTACGTAAACTACTAACTTCCCATAAGCACACAATCAAACTTAGTCCCGAATACATAAAGTACACTAGTTCAATATAGTGTATTTAGTTATACCATTAATATTGAACTTAAATCTTAAATGCAGATAGTCTTAAGCTTAAAACCAATTTGATAACCTATATGATTAGGCTGGCCCAGATGGTGGGAGGGGAGATTTTGAGATATAGGAGGCTCAAGTTTTGTTAAGAGGGCTTATCTAGCAAACAGGAAAAAAAATTTGATAAATAGATTCAATCCTTATTTAGTAGACGCTTGGTTCATGGATTCAGAATCATAATTCAGAACCATTCTCATTTTACGTATGTTTTTGTGAGAGAAAAACACTATAGAAAATTATAAATCATGATTCAAAATTAAGGACGAATACAGAAAACAAACATCTTCTTAATCAGTAACTTGTTGCATAAATTAAGCAGTATCCATAAACTTTATCTCCACGGTTACCACATTTGCTCGCTCCCAAACCCATAAATCAGCTTAGGTAGCGGGAACTTTACCCTTGTTAGCTAGGCATGAACACACAGTAATGAGCTTTTTCTTTTTCCTCAAGTAAGTACAACCAAGTTGTCTCACAAAGCACTTTGCCTATAAGAAATGTAAAGAAATGCATGATTTCATATTATATGCTTCATTAAGAAGTCGTTTTCGTCCGTTTGGAAAAATCATTTCTTCATTGGAAAAACTTCCTTTGTTTAGGGCCCTTGTATACATACCATTTGCGGGCAACTAACAGAGAGTCGAGGTCAAGGCATTTCTAACCGAACATCGTCTAAGGCCTTTATTATGATTTTGCAGGAGATTGGTACGACATTTTTAAAAAAAATTTACTTATTTGTCTTTTTTGTTTGTTTGTTTAATTTGTGTGTATGGAATTTAACATGATTAAAAAGATTATTGCATAATGCATTGTAATATAAAACGTAGTAGGGGCAGTTCATTATTTTATATGTAACATCGATCCATAATAGAAATAACATATAGTTCACACAGTTTAATCAATCAATCACGGCACATTTACAACATCTTGAAACATTTTGTTCCGAGTTGTAATGTAGGCTTGTACTTACCAGGAGCACGTACAGAAGTTCTCGTTGAACTGAAGTTGCGAGGAAGCTAGACCGAGCACTTGTATGATATAACAACAGTACAACAATTTGAGTGGACTCTAATTTGACTTTACGTATATCTATACCAGATAGGACTGAATCTTACTTATCTTTTAATTATGAAGCACGGTATTGTTCACATCTCGAGCTAATAAGATAACTTGTTTCTTTCTTGGTTGCCAAGATAACCATGTTTGATTAGCCTGTATCCCACTAGGTTACTCATATGGACCTGCGCATTACAAACTTTGCCTTGTAATATTGTGAAGTCAACATCGTTAAATCAAGGGGAAAAAAAGAGACAAATATCCCTTTAAATAGTATCTCTTTAGATATTTATGTCTTAAAGATTGGCCCATTGATTTCTACCCTTTGAAGTAGAACTACTCAAATGTCCAACATATGTATTATTAAAATTACTCCCAGTAATAAAATAGGTAATCAATAAGATCACCACTAAGAAATTACTAGATAACACCGGGAGGCAATCTCTGGTCACTGACGCTAGTCGCCAGTTGCTGGTTATCAACTGCCGGTCGTTGATGTCGGTTATAATTTACTAGATTATGATTCACAATTTGCTCGTTTATTTTTCTATTTTCAACCAAAAAATAAGATGTTGTCTTTGGCTCATAATATGTTAAATTATGCTTCATAACATGCTAGATTATGCATCATAATCTGCTAGATTATTTTTCTATTTTCAACAAAATAAAATCATAGATTGTTTCTGACTCTGGCATCGGTCATCAACATCATAATATGCCAGATTATTTATCTATTTTCAACTAAAAAATGACAAGTTGTCTCTGACTCAGGTGTCAGTGGTCGGCCATAATCTGTTGAATATGCTTCATTTTCTATTTTCAACCAAAAATGAGATGTTTTCCCTAGCTCTAACATCAATACCAGGTTGGGCGTCATAATTTGTCAGATTAATTATATTTTCAACCAAAAAAAACTTATTGTCTTTGGCTACGGCATCGGTCACCAGCGCTAGTCATCGATCATAATCTTTAATCTGTAATTTTTTTTTTAACTAAAAATAATTGTCTCTGGTGCCGGTCGTTGATACCGAGTACCTGTCTTAATCTGCCAGATTATATTTCGTAATCTGATAGATTATGTTTCATAATTTATCAATTTTTTTATTTTCTATAAAAAATGACAGATTATCTCCAATTCCAGAGTTGGTTACTAGTTGCATAATCTGCCAATTATGTTTTATAACCTACCATATTATTTTTCTACTTTCAACTAAAAAAAAAGATTGATCCATAATCATAATCAGCTAGATTATTTTTCATAATTTGACACATCATTCTTCATAGTTTAAATAGAAAAACACCATCAAAAGTTCAATTAGGATCGGCTTCTAATTTCTACAACAAACAAAAGCCATGTTTGCTAACAGTTTTGCACAAACAGTTCAAATCTCATCTTCAACTACACTGATCACAACTAAAAATCACAAAAAAAAAAAAAACAAATCACAATTCTAGATCTTTTTAGTCGCCCCCTCATTCCGTTGAATTCACCGTCGGTGCACATGAGCTATGTAGGAGTACAGTAGTACATAATTCAAACTCTTTAAATCATTGAGCTTTCAATAAATTCTAAAAAAAAAAAAATGTTTCCAATGAAATGAAGAACTAGGATGCAAGATCATTTACTCAAGCACAAAAAAAAAAAAAAAAAAAAAATCTCTAATTGCAGTGTTCGAGGTAAAATATGTTTCATCAATCTGGCAAGTAAAAAAAAAAAAAACAAAAGAAAGATTAATTACATGTGATTCAAAATATTAGAACAATAAGAAAACGTTAATAAAGAGCATCCAAAGACTATGAGTCTCTTTTGTTTACCGAAATAACTATTTTCCATTCTCAAAATAAGGTATTAAATGCTCATGGCATAATATATTAAAATGTGTGTGTGTATTTATTTTATTTTATTTTTTATTTTTTTTGAGCAGGTAAGTACTATGTTGTTGATTCTATTGTCCAAAGTACCACTTGAATGAGTTTGAGGGTAGACATAACCGACCACGACACCACGTGGTTTTAAAGAATTGTTCCATTAAAGGCATTCTTCATTGAGAAATGTAATTGAGCGACGCTTTGGAGTGCTAAAAGTGCGGTTTTTTTAATTTTGAAGATAATGCGGCCACCTTACAAATTCCATCGACAAACCTTAATTGTTATAGCTTGTTGTACCCTTCACAATTTTATTCGTCAATGAACTCAGTTTGATCCTATCTTTGAAGAAGAATGAGAAGATAGAGAGATGGAAACTAATAGAGAACATGAAAGCAATATAAGCGATTCAAGCTACATAATGGATTTATGAGATGAATCAAATTTAAAGTTTTTTTAATGTTAACTTTGATATTGAAAATTTAAAGTGTATGTTAATTTTTATATGATGCTATGGACAAGTATTGTAAGCTTTTTTAATGTTAACTTTGATATTGAAATTTAAACTGCATTTTAATTTTTGTAATCTAATTAAAATTGGTATTGAGAAAGTGAAAGAGAGAGAAATGAGGGGAAAGAATGATGGAGAGAGAAAGATAGGTGAGAATATTTTAGAGTTTTGTGGAGAGATGAGAACGAAATTGAGAGAGAAGAATTGGATTTTTATAAGAGATTTAGTTTCTATCTTAAAAGATTAATCTGTTAAATGAAGTGATTCAATACCTTCATATGCCTGTGAGGTGTGATTATTTATATTTAGACAATAAGGGACTTTGGTATTTTCCTTTTTATATGCCCCGTAAGATGGTGCTTCGTTAAGAGTCATTATTTTTTATGGATCGACCCAACTCGTTTAAGTAATGGGCTCTGAGTCATTTTAGAGTTTTGAGTAGAGATGAGGAGAAAATCAAGGGAGAAGAGTTAGACTTTATAAAAAATTAGACTTCGATCTTAAAAGGTTAATCTATTAAGTGGAGTGGTTCAATACTCTAATATATCTATGATTATGTTTATATTTAGAGTGCGACTAAAGTATTTTACCTTTAATAGAGGATAAAAGAGAATTATAATAGAAGTGGAAGGAGATAAGAGACATTTTTTTTTTTTTTTTTTAAGAAAAACTCTATTCAAACACTTTTTTTTTTTGTTTTCATTCTCAAAATATAATTTTCATAAAACAGTTACCAAACACAATTTGTTCTCTCCGAAAATAAATTAAAACAATTTTTGTTCAATCATCTTTGAAAACACACACAAGAGAAAATTACTCAACTTACCCTTAAAAGTATATGAGTTTAAATATTTACTCGTTACTCTTAATTCATACCCTTTTGACTAATATAGTATTTAATTGAAAAGGTATTGACATAAAGTAAAAAGTGAAAATCAAGACCCATACAATCTAAAAAAAAGTATTTGTCTCATTTTCTCAAAACACAATTTTGAGAATAGAAAACAAAGAGCAAAAAATAATACCAAACGGCCCCTAAGTACCTAATTTTAAAAAGCAAAAGGATTAAATAAAAATAACAATAACATCCCTTTATTAAAACCACAAACATAATTTGTAAATATCCGGAACGCAATAAAGCGTCTAAATATGGTCTTCAAATACATGGAAATAAAATTAAAATAAAAAAGGTCTCTCTTTCATGTATGAGAAATTAGTACTCATAAATCTGAAGCAACTTCCATAACGGAGCAGCACATGCAGAGGCCTAGTTGAAACAGCACCAACGAAGAAATTCTTGTTCAATTGACAAGGTCTGCACAGACGGCGCAACCCAACCCAAGGACTCGCTCATCTTCTTCTTCCTAAACACTGGACGGTGCGTCTTCACTTTCAAATTCTTGAGGCTCGGCAATGGCGAAAACCGCACATTCCTCGATTCGATTGGGAAGATCAAAGCCTTCATATCATAAAAAATCAGGGAAAAAAATAACAAAATTAAAGAGGATAGTCTGCATCCTCTAACTTGTATTGTTATTATAATTATCTAAGCAATAAAAATAAAAATGTATGCAAAAAGAAAAAAAACTAAAGTAGCTTAGCTTGTGTGTAGACAGTAGAAATGTGTACCTTTTCAGAGCAGACATGGATGTTGAGAGTCTCGGCGCAATCGAGATTCGAAAGAAAATCGATCAGGTTGTTGTACCATTCGATATCGTAAGCCTTGCTACTCGCCTCCGCAGAAATTAGGATATTGACTTGGGATACTTTTGGCGCATCGATTGACAGGTTCAGCATTGACATACCTTCATAGGTAAAGGAGAGCAAGTTTGGAGCATTGATTATAAGATTTTCTCCATTGCATTCCTTAGTCTCTCTCAGATAAAGGCTTTTCAGATCCTCACAATTGATTTTGATGTTCCTCAAGCTGCAGCAATTATCCAAAGCCAAACTCTGAAGAAGGGGCATTCTAGAAATCAGACCTTCCAGCCAGTTGTCGTCGAAGTTGACATAATTAGTAAACGACACATTTCTGATCGACGCAGCACGAGAGAAGTTGATGCGGTCACAGCTGCCTTTGCTGGTTACATTGAACACGAAAGATCGGAGATCAGCAGCGTCGACAAGAACTAACCCGTACTTGCATTTAAAATTCAGGAAGATTTCCAAGGACTTGATAGTCGAGCTCGAAACCCGAGGATTCGACAATTCGTCGCAGCCGTCCAGAAGCAGTTTCTCAAGGTGGGGACAGCCCAGCAACAGAGTTTCCAATCCCTTGTCGTCAAGCTTTGAGATTTCTCTCAGGACCAACAGTTTCAGTGAAGGCAGACTTACAGAGGGAAGATTCTCCAGCGACAAGTTTTCCAACTTCACAACAGTTAGCGACCTCAAACGAAGTAAGGCTTGAGGTAAGGGGTAAAATTCCTTCTTGAAATGTGGTTTGAGGTGGAGATCCAACTCTTTCACATTTTTCTGAGCAACAATGTTCATCCAATTATCCATGAGAGGACGTTTTCCGTACAAGTACTTTGTGTAAAGCCTAAACTTATTGAGAGAAGCATCTCTTTCATGGCTCATCATGCACTCGTCCACACTTTCATAAAACCTCTCTCGAATGAAACAGAAGTCGAAGAGCTTCACTGTGGAGATTGAAGTCCACGTGTATCGCCAGCGCTTCGAAAGAACGCTCGTCCGAGCAGCTTCTTTGGTCGGAACGAGAGAGAGGATCTGATGGATGATAGGATCTGGTAATTCCGATATCCGATCCCTTCTTCGATTCATCTGGTCTTCATTCTTAGCTCTTTTGGCAGCCATAACCAGCTTCTCAAAAACTAGACTTTGCTAAAAAGAAACAGAAAACACTAATCAATTTGATATGAAATAATGATAACTACTTTCTTGCCCAACAAAAGAGAACTAAAATCTAAGTTGATCTATCTATATTTTTTTAACTGTACGAACATATAATACATACATAATGCAAACACAAATAAATAATATGAATTCATAAGCAAATACTCAAAAGAATTAAAGGTGAAAAAGAGACATTTTTGATAAAAGAGGCCGCAAATGCTCATGTTCACTAATCAGTTCTTGAATTTTGATAAAAGAGGGAGGGCGGGAAAGGTAAAGAAATTGTGTTTAGACTTCTTTTTTTTTTTTTTTTATTTTAAAGAAAGGGATAAAAACATTTTGTGTTAGTATCTGTGTTTTTAATAATATTAAAATGGCACTTGAATGTTTTTGAAAACATCTTCTTGGTATCTCTAAGCATGTAAAAAGTTCATGAGCATGTTTAATCAGCTTTAAGTTAACAAGAAGATATTTTTAAAAACGTCGAGATACCTCTTTAATATTGTCAAACACATAAGATATTATGAACATGTTTCGCTATAATATAGAGTACCAAAATGATTTTATCTTAAAAAAAAATAAAAGTAAAATAACTTAGAGAACAAACGTACATTGAAAAACATATTTGTTTTATCGCAATTTATATATATATATATATATATATATATATTTAAGTAGGGTACATTGTCAAAATGCACATTTCAGCTAAGTAAAATTAGAGAAAAAATTACTTAAGATTACATGTATATGAGAAAATATTAAGTAGGGTCACACATGAAGAAACAAAATTGTAGTTAGGCAATCAAGAAAAATAAATATTTATCTAGGGCACGTCTGATAAATGATATTTTCGAGTATTGTGTGAATTATACTTCATTACATTTTTTTTTGAAGGAATCATCATTACATTTAAGAGTACACATTTGAAGAAAATTTTTTCTTTCAACCAAATATTATGATTTTAGGCGGAAAGAAAAACAACAAAACTAGTATTTCAACCAAAAAGCTCCTTTAGTCAAAAAGGGCAATTCATTCATTTTAGTATGGGATATTTATATTTTTATACCCTGTGTTTTAAGTTTATTCAAAATCTATACCTTCAGTTTTTGATATCATCAAATGTATACTTTCAAATTAGATTTAACATACAAATCTATGTCTTATCTCGGTCAATAATTGATTTTGACCTTTGAAATAACTAAACTATCTGCAAGAAAAAGGAAAAAAAAAACATTAAAACCTTCCAATATTATGATAATTAAAAATTAATAACACAAAAACCATTTGAATGATATTTTACATATTTTAGAGGTCAAAATTGTAAGTTAAATTTTTTTTTTTTAGGTTTTTTTCCTCTTTTTATGCTTTTATTCAAGGGTAATTTATGTATTTTTAAGAATAAAATCGAGGATTAACTGTGGAAAGATAAAAATTTGGATATTGAATTTAATTTGAAGATATACATTTGATGAGACAAAAAACTAAGGTATAGATTTTGAATAAACCTAAAACACATGGTATAAAAAGGTAAATATCCCTTTAATATTTTATGAATTTATATATTCTTAACTCTAGTGTCATAATGAATCAAGTTTAGCATTGACTTAGATCGACTGTTTAAGGTTTTGGCTTATTTGCCCTATTGACCCTGAAAATTTTTGTTTATTGACAAAGTGTGGCTATTTTTATTTTTTTTCCAAACAATATTCTCTTTGAGAACTGTTTTACTAATTTGGATTAATATCTTTAGTGATTTAAGATTGTAGTAGAATGGTTAATAAACAGATTACACTATAAACATATTATAAATCAGTCTAGCTAAGTGGGATTTAGACTGAAATCCATGGTGAGCATCTCTATTATATCTATGCACATGCTATGAACATATACGAAAATATAGACTATTGATTTATAAATCAAAATCTTTTATCTTCATAAAAGTCAATTAAAAACCGCAGCCTCTATTAAGAGGATAAAACAGATAAAAATGACCTTTCATATAATTAATTAATGACCCATCCGCAATTCTCATGTGAAATCCGACCAAAAAAATTTATACAATTAATTAACAACAGTGGTGTCTTTGCCACACATTTTAGATTTAAGGGGCTTATTAAGATTCAGGGTGCACATTTCCAACAAAAAATGGTTCAGGGTGTAACACTGAAAAAAAAAAATCCTAAAATTTAAGCTCAAAGCTTTTATGCTAATTGCGGGCGGACCTTAGTTAATTGCTAAGAGCAAACTAGTTTTCCATGTGAAATTAGGAAATATCCCTTCTTAAGAAAATCTTTCCTCCTACACCTTCCCATGCATTCTCCTGAGGGTATTTTTGTAATTTCAAATATTATTGTTAAAAAATGTTCTTTAAAAACCTCTCAAGATTGTTCATTTATTAAGTCACAAGGACGTTTATGCCCGTGGAAGGATACATCCGTCGTAATTTTTTTTTATTATTCTGAATTTTTGTTAAAAACAAATATATTAAAAACCACATGCCCACAATTAATTCCTTTTTATTCAAAACTAAGAACAAAAGCATAGACATAAATCTTGAACATTGAACATTTAAGTCGATTAGTTGATATAGATTTAACTAATTATACGTATGAACTTTACATGGGAATTGTTGCCATAAGTTTGTTATTCTTACATACTTTGTTTTGCAAAGCAGACTGATGAAGAGGCGAGGTGTAGACCGAGAGGCTCAAACCATGAAATCTTCTAAAAATAGAGTTCTGAGGACCAAACACTTTTCGGATCAAACGAGGAAAAAGTAATATGAGCATGTGAATAGAAAAAATCTAAAATAATAATAAATGAATCACAAATATTACCAGTAGTGGAGCGGCGAGACAAGAATTAAAAAACTCACGTCGCACAGAAAGTGATAGAAGCGAAATGGTAAAAACAAAGAAGGGACGGTGAGAAGAGAATACAAGGGATATGCACTATTTAACGTTGAGGTGAGGAGAGTAAGAAGGGGCCGATGAAGAAATGTGGGACCCATCTAAATTTTTTTTTTTTTAATTTTCTTTTTCTAGCATGAAAATACCATATATGCATGTTTTTGCTAGGGTAAGACAAGTGGGATCTTTTTTTTTTTTTTATGTGAATCAAAATCTAGAACTTTTTTTTCCTTTAAATTGCATAAAGTCAAAAAAATTTCCCAGGAAAAGAATAAAATTAAGAATTGTAAAATCCAAATATGACATAGATGAGGAGAATGGATTTCTGCAGATATCACAACACCTCTTCAAATAGGGTTCATTTCGTTAAATAAAAAAAAATAATGCTAAAGAATAAGAAAAGAAAAAAAAAATATTTGCACTCATATATCTCATTTCCAATATCACGTTCTCTCCTTGCCGTATAATTTTTTTTTTTTAATTTTCTTTTGCTAATACAAAATTTTATTTTTTGTTTATTCAGTCGACACCAACTTTGTTACTATCAATATATGTCTCGTATGAATAATTTAGTTACCATAATAGGCTAACAACCAAACCGCTTAATTTTTACTTTTTATTAATCTACATATGGTACGTGCATTAAAAGCAACAAGCAAAATTAAAATAAAACTTAGCACCTACACGTGCCTCATATGAGAAAAATAAACTTGAATTTTTTTTTTTTTTTCGAAAAAAAATAAAACCGCTACCGAAGCACAAAAGGAAGATACTAGGGGAGCCGGCCCTAGAAAACAAAAGAGTGAGAAGAGAGGAAGAGCCGTCGTTTCTAACCATTATTACTAAGGATGTTTAAAAAATCTACCAAAACCGCCCAAATCGCTTAATTTAAATTAAAACAAATTAAAATATTAATTATCTTTTTATTATTAGACAATTTAATCAATTTTTTAATTTAATTTTTTGAGCGGTTTAATTTATAGTCCGGACTTATCAATCCACCTAATCATACTCATAAAAAATACACATAATTTTTTAAATATATGTATATTTTTTAATTTTTATTGATCATAATAAAATTTCTATACTTATAAAATACACCTTATTACATTTTTTTTTGTTTGTATTAAAACTTTAGTAAAATTTTAGACATTTTCTATTTTTGAATTATATTGTAAACTTTAAATTTTTCTTTATTTTTAAGGATTAACGATCATATAATTTTTGTGAATTATTGAACACTTTTTTAGTTTAAGCTCAAACTGTCAAACTAAACTGACCATACCACTTATGAATTATTTGTTTTAATTTAGTTTTTGTCAAAAATAACAAACCGTTCAAACCACCTAAAAGAAATGATTACTTTTAGTTTGGTTAGTGGTTTTTTTTTTTAAAAAAAAAAAAATTATAGAAACCATTAAACCTTACGTGCTCGCTTAGTTGATGTATTTAAATCAATGATTCTGATTTTATTACAGTGTCTCTTTCTCATATAAAAATTGAATAAAAAAATTTTCCGTTAATGGTTCTCTCAAAAAGTTCCTACTAACGAAGCAAATCACTGACTTAAACATATGAACTAAATAGCCTTAGGCTCCGTTCATTTCACCGATTTGAGTTTAGAATTCGAGTTTTTTACAGTAAAAAGTTCTAAAAAACAGTCATATCTAACTTTTTATTACAGTAAAAGCTCTCAAATAAAATTATATCTTAATTCGAATTAAAAACTCGTATCAACGAACTAAACAGACCCTTAAGTCACGAAATATTATTTACACTATCGTTATCGGATACTGTGTTTATTAGCAATGGCGTTGTGCCACATGCGGAAAAGGAAATTGGTGGATTGGAGTGAGTATGGGATTGAGTCGCCGTTAAACACGAGGTGTTTTTTCGGGCGCATCGGTTATTGCCACGTGCTTAGTATATGAGAAAAATAAACTGAAAGAGAAAATTAAGAACTTGCCAAAAGAAGCAGGATTTTCATTGACTTGTGGTTGGCTTTTATTTATGAATATT